CATGGCTTTACACAACATATCAATTTGGAGAAGCACAGCTGCAGTGGATCCGAGGCATCTGCCACTGATATGCGTTCACGGCATCGTTGCACTCACTGCGGCAAGTGCATGCAGTCTGCATCCAGCCTAATCATACATTTGCGGCTTCACAATGGGGAGAGACCATTTGCGTGCGACGTTTGCCCGAAGACTTTCAAAACCAACGGTGGACTTGTGACTCACCAGAAGAGGCATCTGAAGCTGCTGGAATACGAGTGCGATTACTGCGGCAAAGGCTTCGTGGAATCCAGCAATTTACGCCGGCACATTGCCTCAATGCATACGCAGGAGCGACCGCACACCTGCACCGTCTGCCAGCGGACCTTTTCCCGCGTCTATCTGCTTGAGCTGCACAAGCGCACCCACACAGGCGAGCGCCCATATGCCTGCTCTCAATGCGATCGCTGCTTTGCCCAGTTGAGTGTGCTGCGCACTCACGAGCGCATCCATACGGGCGAGCGGCGCCATAGCTGCAGCATCTGCCAGAAGACCTTCAGTCGCCAGATTCAGCTGAAGAAGCATCAACTAAAATCCTGCCAAACGCTGTCTACACAATCCTTTGAAGAGCTCCGCTCCTAGCTTGTAGATTGCATATAGCAGACTGATGCATTGAGCTCAAATTATTGGTCAAATTCATTACAGTTAACTAGGTTTAAGCTAAATATGTTAGGTGTAAAAGTTTTGTTAACTTAAGAGCAATCTTTGTTACTTAGTCGTCAATCAAAATTAGTGTTAAGCCAATATTAAATATTTGTAATACATTAGTCTAAAGGTGAACTTAATGTACTTGTATTTTAACAATATCTATATTGAGCTATTGAGAGCTTTGGTTCAGCTTGACATAAAAGTCAAACATAAGAGATGATTATTTATTGATACCGAATTATTGGCTGCTTGCTGTACGTTACTAAAAATACATTTATTTGAAATTCGCTTGGGTTGTTTTAGAAAGCAAAGTCCTCCTTTTATTATTTTATAAAATACAACTATTGTACTTACTTTGAATCCAATCTGAGCATTAAATTATGAAATATATACATATATAGTTGTTAGGATACCTAACTAGAGGAGAAAAAATATCATATAGATAAAGTTTACTAGATGATTTATACAGTTTTAGGTCAACACTCGGTCTTGAGCAATTCTTCATATAATAGTAATGAGGGGTGCCTGTCCTGTTTTTTGTCATTTCCTGAGATGTGAAGCACAATAACTCTTTTGTCCGTTATGGATCAAAATACCAGTAAGTTACATTCGGCATTCTCTGATTAGATTCATTTCTCACTTGCTATGAGTTAAAATAAATATAATCTAGTTTCTCAATCGAATTCCTGACCATTTGAATAAATTACACTGCTTATATCAGAGTCTAGCTCGGTATATACAAGAATCTCCTCCCCCACAATATCTTTGCTATTTGCCTGTGATACCATACAGTGTACTCAAGTCTCCTCATGTTAGATTTCTAAATGAGAACTGACCGAGTTGCTGTCTTTTATTTCCGGCTTACCTTTAAATCCCTCTTACAAGTACAATGGAACGAATGGAATGGATAAGTGCTCTACAAGCAGGATTATCTTGTCCTTTATCTTGTCCGTTTTTCCTCAGGAAGAAATACAAGTTGATGATTTAAGAGGTTTTTGTTTTATTGCATGCACATAAGAGTTTAGTTATGTTTTGCTTCGTGTTATGGGTTTACAATAGCTTCTGATACGTTTAGCCTACAAGATACAACAAATTACGTAATTACACAAATTCCTGTTACTTGCCATATAGTTAGTATATGTTTTATGCGAACTTTGTATATATATAAATATATATATAGATATATAATTTGATTTTTGCTTTTGAAAAAATTACATAAATAACATGCATAAGTTTTGAGGGCACAACTTTTACTTGATTTGAAAGTATTCCATTTTCACACGAATATTATTATGTATATTTTGTTAATGATTTCCGGGCTTTGCACTTTGCCATATAGTATTTTGATTCGCATATCTAAATATAGATTTATATATATGTATATGTGTATGTATAAGCTGAGGACTTACAAATATAACTATATTTGGTTTTATTTGCTTTTGCTTTGTTCACTTTGCATAAACGTAATAATGAGTATAAATATTGTAAGTACTTAATGTTAATATGGTAATTTACTCAATTAGCTGGATTTAAGAGTGCTGAAACGTCGAGAATCAATCCAATTATGGCGCAAATCTCTTTGGGTTCGTTCTAGCCATTCCACGCTAGGAGAATCCTTTCGATGGTTAGCTTGCGACGGCGAGTTAACCACGCTGACTCCGGCTTGGATACAGTTAGATGGTAACTTGATCGGTATTGTTATCGGTATCGAGTTCGTTATCGTTATCGCTATCATGGGTTATTAGAGGGGGCGGGTAGACTTAGCCTACAGAAGCGTCGCCTCTACCAAAAATGGAATCAATAGAAAATTTATTAAAATTCGATTGGCTTGAAAAGGGTATTCAGATGCGTATAGAATGACTGTGGTTAGCAGGTGAGCAAATTGGGTGAGAGACGGTGCAGCTTGCTTCACGAGAGGTTTCTGGTGGCTCCTTAGACCGCGGCGCTGTGCTCGGACCGTCGGAAATACTTACGCGCCTGCACATTCAGGTCGTCGAGCAGCAGCTCGTTGGAGGACTTTGAGCGCTTGGGAAAGATCAGGGCGTTGCGCAACGGCGTCACATGGGCCACATTGGGGCGTGGCTTGGGTGGCGGGGCAGGCGGTGCGCGCTTCTGCTTGTAGGACACCCGCTTCAGCTGGCGCACAAAGGACTGGCTTAACGTTGAGCCACGATTGAAGTCTGGTTCCTCGTTCAGCGCCGGCTGTCCAGCGTATTTGTGCAGCTTGGCGGCTGCCGAGCCGGTCGGCAAAGGCTGCAGCTGCTGCTCTGAGTGGGTTTTGTTGACGGTGCCCGCTGCGGAGCTACTGCCCTTGAAGCGCTCAAAGAGATTGGTCAGGGTGCTGGAGCGCTGCTGCAGCATCGGCGGCGCTGGCGCCGCGTACTTTTGGCTGTGCTTCGGTGTGCGCCCAGCGCAGGCAGTGGTGGGCGTGGTGGAAGCCGTTTGGGCGCGACTGGCAAAGACATCGTCGTCCAGCTCGCTAAGGCTGACCAGCATGTGCTCGTCGTCAAACAGGTCATCCGTATTTGTAATCGTGTTGCTGTTGGTGTAGCTGCGACTCGTCTCCTGCAGCGTATTGTTCCGCGCCATCTGCTCCGCCTCCTGCTCCTCGTCGTCATCCCCGTAGTTGGCAAATATTTCGTCAAAGGCCGCGTTCACAATGTACGTCTCGTCCTGCAGCTCTTCCGCGCTGCTCACCCGACTGCCAAACAGGTTCTTGCGATAGTCGTCGTACGGCTGCCTCAGCTGCTCGCTCGAGTGTGCCCCAATGGACGGCGCTGCTGGGCGTGGCAACGTGGCCAACTGGCTGGCCAGGCTGTGGGTGCTGCAGCTGTTGATGAGCTTGCCGGGTGCGGGTGCGGGTGCGGTTAGTGGGCACTGGCCATGCCGATGACTATGATGATGGAGACTCTGGGTCTGAGTCTGATTCTGATTTTGGTTTAGATGCTGTGATTGTGCCTGTGGGTGAGCCTGGGCCTGAGCTTGTGCTTGAAGCTTCTGCTTTTGCCGCTGCATGTGCTGCAGGCGCTGGCGCAGCTCCTGCGACCTGCGCTTCACCTGGCTGTACTTGGCATCGCTGCTGCTCTTGTGGTTGCTAATGCTGTGGCTGCTCGCGCGCAGCTGATACTTACTCTGCTCGCGGTCTCGCTCCTGCTCGGCCTCGGCCAGGCGCCGCTGCAGCGCCAGCGTCTCGAACGTGTGCACCATGCTGCCCACGTGGGTCTGGATCTCTGGGATGCCCAGGTCGCCGGTGAAGAGGTCGCGCTGGTGGCGCTGCTCGGGCGACAACAGCTCGCCCACACTGTGCGGCCGGTGCCCATGCGTGTGGGCGTGGCAGTGACGTATGGGCGGCAACGGGCAGGGGTACTGCTCGACCAACTCGCTCGCCTGCTGCTGCCAGAGCAGGTTGCCGAGCTCATCGTGAGCGCTGGCGGTGGCCAAAGTGGATGACTAAATAGGTGGGTCACAGTGTTGTATGTTGTAGTTGTTGTTGTATGTATGTGATGTTGTTGTTGATGTTGTATGCGAGTTGTTGGCAGTTAATTCAAGCAAATTGTTGATGAAATAAATAAATAAACAGCTGATTAGCGAAGACTGCGACGTAGAAAGAAAGAGTGATAGAGCGAAAGAGAGAGAGAGAGAGAGAGAGATAGAAAGATCCAAATAGAAGTGGATAGCTGGTGAGCTTGTGTCATGGGCGGGGGCAGGGGCAGAGGCTCGGGGGTGAAATCTTAATCTCTTAATATAACTTAATCAATTAATTATGCCTATCGATTAGCTATATAGTATATACACACACATATTGACCACATTTAACCATAAATGACTTTTCTTACTTTGATTTGTTTTGTTTTTTTTTCTTTCTTTTTTTTTTTGCTTGGCTGCAAAGACCTACAATACTTTGCAATTTCCATTTACTATCGTATTTCATAAATATTTCATATATATTCGCCATTTCAACTACACTCTAAATTTAAGTTGTATTTTATTTATGCTAAGTCCATGGAAATATGTCTTGAAGCTTTCGACATTCAATTCAATAAAACAACACAAACAGCTGCTTATAGCAGAGCAGCATGGCCTATGAATGTCTGTATGTATGTGTGGTTGTCTCTGTGTGTGTGTGCGTGTGTGTGCGTGTGCGAGTGTGAGCGGTGCTCAGAAGTGTGCTAGAGTTATGGCACGTTGCGTATACGCAGTGTATTACATTATTGCAGACTCTGAATAACCAAATCAAGGGCAATTCACAATGCTCGGTGTTAAAGTTTGTATAATTCAAGGTGTGCGTATGTGTGTGTATGATTTTCATCATATATATATGTATATATATATATATGTATGTGTGTGCGTGTTGGCTTCGGATGTGCGCTGTGGGCAACGACAACACTTTACAACTGAGACAGCAATGTGTGACTGTGCGAGTGGTTTGCGTGTGTGTGTTTTTGTGCAGTTTAATAATAGTTATTATCAAATGGTAAACTATCACTGGAGCTGGAATAATGCTGCTGTTGTGGTTGCTGGATGTTGCAAGTGCGTTTGCTAGACAGCTGCTGCTGCTGTTGCTTGCCGCATTTTTGTTGCTGCTGCTGTTGTTGCTGCTGCTGCTTGTGCATGGCCTTAAAATCATCCTGAGACTTGCTGTTTTTCGAGCTGTGCTTGTTCTTGTGGCCCTTGCTGTGTTTCGTGTGCTTCAGACTGTGGTGTTGGTGGTGGTGTGGCAGTGGCTGCTGCTGATGCTGTTGCTGTTGCTGCTGCTGGTGTGAATGACTGTGTTGCTGGTAGTGGTGCTCAATGTGCGCAATGTTGCTGCTGCTGTGGTAATGTGGGTGCTGCAGCTGCTGCTGCTGGTTGGAGGTGTCGCTGGCGGTGCCGCTGCTGCCGTAGCTGTAGATCTGCGACTTCGACTGGCTGCGATGCGGATGCCCATGCAGATTGGTCACGCTATAGTGATCCCGATCCAAGCTGTCGAAGGTCTGCAGATAGTGCGGATTGATCTGCGTGCAGTAGTCACCGCCAGCGCTGGCCTCGCCGTGGCCGTGTTTGCGGTCGAGCGTGTTGTTGGTGCGTGCATTCAGGTGTTGCAGGTGTGTCATGTTGTAGCTGAGATGTTGGTACTGGGAGTCGTGTTGCTGCTGGCTCTGCTTGCTGCCGTTTTTCATGGGCAACGGCGGCGGCTGCTGCTGTGCATTGGGCGATCTGTTTGGTTTGTTTGCGTTGCTGCCGCTCGACTTAAAGCTGCTGTTGCCGCTGTGCAGAGCGAGGCTGTTGCTGTTGCTGTTGCAGTTGCTGTTACTGTTGTTGCTGCTGTGGCCGACGTCGCTCTTCGTTTTGATCGCTATAAATGTGTTTGGCAGCGGGGGCAATGGTGGTGTGCCTGTGGGCGTGGTTATAGTGGTTGCTGACGATGAGCAAGTGGTTGTTGCTGTTGTCGCTGCCGTTGCCGTTGCCGTTGCTGTTGCTGTATTGCTGATGTTGGTGGTGCTGGCCACGTTAAGTTCCCGCTACGCGATGTGATGCCCGCCAAATGTGCGCAGTACTGGCACGCTCTGATTGTGGTGTTTGGTGGTGTTGGACGTGTTGTTGGTGGTTGTGGTGGTAGTGGTGGTGGTGGTGGTCGTGGTGGTCGTAGTGGTGTTGGTGGTGTTGCAGGTGTTGGTGGTTAAAACATAGTAATTGTTGTCGATGGAGTTGTTACAGTGTCATGGTTAGCAGTTGTTGTTGGTGTGCGTGATTGGTGGTTTTGTTGTTGTTGTTTTTGTTGTTGGGCGCATTTGTTGTGGTTGTTATCGGAAAATGAAATTTCAGAGCGTAAAAGAGACGAAAAAAGGAAAAGAGTAGACACTTATCATATAAGTTGTGTATGAGATATACATATTATATATTGCTTATACGTGTGTACTTGGTGAGTGTGTGTATATCTGTTCAAATATGTTATGTCTGCGTGTGTGTGTACACTTTTGCTTAAGAACGTGGTGCGTCAGTTATGGGGCTAAAAGTGCCTGCTTCTCAGTTTGCCAGAGCTGGTGTCATTAGCATAAAAAAATACCGATCTATATGCGTAAGACTTATCAATCAGGTAGTGCTTGAAAAAAATTAAGAACTACCAAAATTAAATGAAATGAAATATGTGCATTTTAGATTATATTTAAAACTGATTTTATTAGTAGAAAAATAC